ATTCAATTCAATTCAAGTTTATTAGCGTAATTTGGAAAAAATTCCAGTTACAAGGGGTACATTGGGTTACAAATATTAGTGAATATATAATATATCTTCCGACAAATAAATAATTATTATGTAAATTATCTTCTATTCATACATTTAATCAAGTGACATAATATTCGATAGAAGTAAGAACAAGAATAAAAGTAAGTTTATAAATCATTCATTAAGGCTCTCAACCGTTTTAATATATTTAATAAAGAACTGATATATTCTGGTAATCATAATTCGAACCATCTGAAATATTTTTTGGTAGAATTCTTGCATAGATTTGATGGCTGACAAGGTGGAAATAGTAGTCTGTTCTCTAAGTTTGGAACAACCCTTGCACAAACTAATTATATGATATACAGAAATTTGGTCATTACATAGCCTACATTGTTTATTCCTGATACCCAATAATTCCCTTCAACTATAATATAAAAACTGTTTAGTCTGATCTGCATATAAAATCTTTTCATCCCAAATGGTATTTTATAATGAATATAATTATTTGCTGAAGGAAAATTTAAATTAACTATATACCATGAGTGAAATTTTGACTTCTGTAAATTTTTCATCTCATGATCAATTGAATTATTATGCATATTTTCCACCAATAAAAAAATTCCGTAATTCTAGTCTGTTTCTGTACTGCTAAATAGTAAATAAGACAAACCATAACTTTTCAATTTGATCCTAAGTTTGTTATACCAATTGTTTTGATAATTCTTTTTGTTCTCTGCCAAGTTCTTTAAAACTTTAAGTATTGTATTAACCTGTATGTTCTCACTATTATATATTATTTATAAATATATTAGTTGAATAAAAATGCACTTTAAAATGATGTTTCGTCGTTTTTTTATTAAATTAATTAGAGACCCAAATAAAACAAATATTTGTGTTTTTCAAATAAATTTTTGTTTATCTCCTATATAATAAATGAATTTATCTATTTCTAAATAAAAATTTAGTGTCTGTAAAAGTAATTTTTAAAAATTTTCTTTTTTATGGTAAACTTTTAATACTTATTACTATAATCTAGACATGTTAATATTTAAAAATACTTATATATTTAAGGATTAGAGCAAAATATACTTGTGGCCCAAAACGCCATGACTTTTTCCAATGTGGCCCAGAGAAACAAAAAGGTTGGACACCCCTGTTCTAAACATTCCATTGAACTTTTGGAAGTTCATTCAAATTATTTTTTCTGCTCTTATACCTGAAGAGGACTAATGAAGAGGCCGAAAACATTTGTTTTTTTAAGAAAGTAATTGCAGAAGTGTTAAAGCACTAGGTAATTATTACTTATCTTGTTTCCAGCTTCTGTGAATGGTTTTGATGAATTTTTCTTTGGGAATTCCTAGGTCAGATTCCCTAATACATAGTAAACAATACAGGGAAATGATTATCCACAGAGATAGAGGCCAAAACCAAGTACAAGTATGGATTTGATATTCCAATACTATTAGTAATTTATACAAAAACACAAGACAGGAGGATCTGAAATGTTTACATGTTCTTTTAAGAATCTGGTAACTTTAACCATCTGACTGATACTCAATTGTTATCAGCAATGGGAAATTCAGTTTTTCTTTTAAAAGTTGAATCCTTTCAATAATAACTCTAATATGATGTAAATTTTTTATATATTGTATTGTATACTAAATTGAATTTTATGTTATGATTAAAAGTTTTAATCATGGGAAAAAATCAATGTATTAAAACAATTAAACAACAATTTATTTTAAATTATAATGTTAATTTTAAACCATGATGCCATAGAAGTACAATAGCCTATTAATAAGCATAAAATTTTTAAATTGACCATATTTTAGTAAAATTTATTATATATAATAAAGGTTGATATGAGTTTTTTTATATTTAATTTACTTCAGTAAAAAAACAAAATTGGTTTATGATATCTAGTTTGTAGTGTAAATTGATTTAATATTTGAATATTTTGATTTCTTTTATTAGTAATGATTATTTATCTTTTTTGTTTTTAGATATAGAAGTGTTCTAGATAATATAATAAAATGCAAAGGAGAAGAACTTATTGAAGGTCTTAAGGCATTTGTAGAAGCAAGTGAGTATATTGTTTAAAATATTTCAGAATGAAATCAGAATATGGTAATTTGAGAATGTTACATCATGGATGGAAATCAACAAATCTTCACTTCCGTTCATATACTTCACTACTTCACTACTCATATTTTCACTACTTTTATTATTTTTCTTATNCTAGATTCTAGATTACTTAGAAAAACAGTCTTTTATATATATAAAAAACTATATTACATACAAATGTACGAACAAATAAAAACCCAGCGAAGCGGGTCCTTGCAGCTAGTATTTAAAATAAAATTCTTGAAATGTTTTCTGTGAAACTCAAGATAAGAAATATTTTGAAATTTTCTGGGAATTATTTTCTTAAAAAAAAAAATGTTTTCAGCCACTTCATAGGCTCTCTTTAGTTATGTGAGCAGTAAAAAGAATTCAAATGAGGTTCTAAACCAGGGGTATCCAACCCGCGGGCCGCATGCGGCCCAAAGGAAGTTTGAATGCGGCCCAATAAATGTGTACACAAAACCGACAATTTTTTAAATTATTTATTTATTTCAACGGCATAAATTCAAAAAAGAAGTTTCACAAAGCCATAAACCTTTATACATATTTTATTTTTGAGTGGAAAAGAAATATTTTCAAATACTTAGAAATGTGTGAATGAGGAAAGTACACTAAATAAGGCTGGAGTTGTCTCTCAAAGGAGTATAGACTCAAATTCGGGGAAAGGAGAAAAAGACCTAAAGATAAAAAGTAATGAGACAAGTTAAATAGACCTCCTGTTATGCTATATGGACCCTTAATTTTCCAATCTTCCTCACTTCTTTATCTTTAGTCCTCTTTCTCGTTTCCCTGCATTTGGATCTATAATTATCCCTTTGAGTCTCAAGACCAGCTTTATTTAGTATTCTTTCCAGCGTTGCAAGATTCAGCTACTTTGCGTCAAATTTGGTACCCTTTAATTAGTTTGATGTAAAAAATATCAGTTGGCACATTGGTTACTTTTTGGGCTACATATTATTTATAAATATTCAATTCAATTCAATTCAAGTTTATTAGCGTAATTTGGGAAAAATTCCAGTTACAAGGGGTACATTGGATTACAAATATTAGTGAATATATAATATATCTTCCGACAAATAAATAATTATTATGTAAATTATCTTCTATTCATACATTTAATCAAGTGACATAATATTTGATAGAAGTAAGAACAAGAATAAAAGTAAGTTTATAAATCATTCATTAAGGCTCTCAACCGTTTTAATATATTTAATAAAGAACTGATATATTCTGGTAATCATAATTCGAACCATCTGAAATATTTTTTGGTAGAATTCTTGCATAGATTTGATGGCTGACAAGGTGGAAATAGTAGTCTGTTCTCTAAGTTTGGAACAACCCTTGCACAAACTAATTATATGATATACAGAAATTTGGTCATTACATAGCCTACATTGTTTATTCCTGATACCCAATAATTCCCTTCAACTATAATATAAAAACTGTTTAGTCTGATCTGCATATAAAATCTTTTCATCCCAAATGGTATTTTATAATGAATATAATTANATATGATATACAGAAATTTGGTCATTACACAGCCTACATTGTTTATTCCTGATATCCAAATAATTCCCTTCAACTATAATATAAAAACTGTTTAGTCTGATCTGCATATAAAATCTTTTCATCCCAAATGGTATTTTATAATGAATATAATTATTTGCTGAAGGAAAATTTAAATTAACTATATACCATGAGTGAAATTTTGACTTCTGTAAATTTTTCATCTCATGATCAATTGAATTATTATGCATATTTTCCACCAATAAAAAAATTCCGTAATTCTAGTCTGTTTCTGTACTGCTAAATAGTAAATAAGACAAACCATAACTTTTCAATTTGATCCTAAGTTTGTTATACCAATTGTTTTGATAATTCTTTTTGTTCTCTGCCAAGTTCTTTAAAACTTTAAGTATTGTATTAACCTGTATGTTCTCACTATTATATATTCTTTAAATACCTTTTTTTTGTTACCCACCCATGGTCTTTTGTTGGGCCCAGGTTTTGTTAATTGCATGTACATACATTGTTCTTTTGATGTAACTGTTCTTGTATTATTGTGTTGTTAATTTCATTACTGTATACTGTATATTACTGTAATGTCATACTCATTGTATAACTTGGGCTACGACCCACTCGTTGTATTTTCTGTTTTTATTTGGTTTCAATAAATGGGGCTCGGTGCTAGCTTCTCATGAGATCTCATTTCACACTTTCCTATCTTTCTTACCCTGTTTTTACCTTTTCATCCCACCCTTCTTCTCTTCAAAGGCTAAGTTCGGCCTTCTAAACTTTTCCAGTAGTAGTTGTATTGCGATACGTCAAAGTTGTGTGATGGGTAGTAAGTATTTGAAGAAATTTTAAGCCACATAGCACTGTGTATACTAGACAGTCTATACATAATTAATTTAAAAGGATATATTTCTCTCTTTATGTTAAAGATTGCTGCATATTGACTTTAAGAAGTTTATATCAGGTTTTTCATTTTTTCAGATTTCAATCTGACAAGAATGATTCTATAAATTGTGTCTGGACTCATCAGTAAACAGAACACTGCCCAATTNGATTTGCACAACACTTGAATAAATGTAAATACCCTGCACTGTGTTGATGTACCTAATAAACAAGGAAGCAAGCCTAATCCAACGCTCTGTACTTCAGATATACTGATAATATATTCTAATAACACTAATATACTATAAAAATAACATATTGTCATTGGAAACGGCAAAAGAGTGGAAACATCATTCGCACTTGTTCGTAGAAAGTCCATTGGTTGCATCACGTAACTGCCGAACGGAAAGTCCGTTGTCCGCAACCAGTCCGTTGCTCGAGTGACGTAACGGCCAAACAGAAAGTCCGTTATTCGCAGCGTCCGTTATTCGAGGCGTACGTTATACGAGGCACCACTGTATATAGATAGATTAATAAATATTTATATAATTTTAATTTTTTTAATATGTCGTTTTAATATCAAAGTCAATAAAACCAATGTTTTAGATAATTGTAGTCTTTTTTACTCAGTCTCATAATGTTATCGGTCAGTTATTATTATTAGTTTGTCAATTGCACAGTGATTTTAATATGTCGTTTTAATATCAAAGTCAATAAAACCAATGTTTTAGATAATTGTAGTCTTTTTTACTCAGTCTCATAATGTTATCGGTCAGTTATTATTATCAGTTTGTCAATTGCACAGTGATTACAATAAGAGATTATACCATGTTTATTATTAATTAAAATACCCACTCAATTATGCTTCCGTCAGCTTCTAAATCGCATATTGGATGTAAATCTGGCGTCATTTTTTCGATCCGGTTAAAGTAAATATCACAGATGTTACCTACATAAAATAATTCATAATACATTCATTCAATTGCGTGTAAAATGGCAAATACATAGTGAATATAAAAATAATAATAGAAACTGCACTTAGTTAAGAAAATATATGAATCCAATTTAAACTTTTCTAGAATAAAAACTTTAAAAAATTCTGGTACACTTTTATTATTTTCTCTGCCCTGCCATGTGGGCACTGATAAGACCATTTTTCATGCTCATTACAGATTTCCATCAGGCCCACCATCAGTGGTAAATGATGGGGCTCAACATATTTGGGACTGACTACTGTAAGGGTTAAGTCTAACATGTCCCAGAAAACAAAGTGATTTACATTTTTATACTGTTGATTTAGTTTGTTCTGAGGTTGGTGGCCAAATACCTTGTCATGTTTCCATTCCCTGAAAGTGCAACACTAAAGTAGGCTTGTTAGATGACAAACTGACACCTATTATTCATTGACTGAGGAAGATACTTAGGACTTTAAATATGGCAGAGACCAAAATTTGAATTAGTTGTTCCTGTAGTTGAGATATGGATTATGTGTATAAGGAAATTGTATGTATACAAGACCAGATGAAGAACTAATTGCTAAGAGAAACCTTGGACCATGAGAAATAAAAGGAATGTAAGATGAGAATATGGTCTGCTAGTATCACTTCAATTGCTTATTTAGACACACAATTAAGCAATTAATTTTGCTAGAACTCAAGCACAGGAAAGTGTTAGAATTTTATCTCATTGAATCTTCTTGGGAAGGATATTTGGGCAGTTGAAAAATTACTCAGGATAGAGGAAGGTTTCTACTGGCCAAAGATGGTAGCTGATAACCAATGCCATTGCCAGAGTTGTCAGTGATGCTAATTTCATCCAGGCCTTGTGTTGATGACTTGATACCTATTAGACTTAACTTGTCTGGAGATCACTTTTCAGATCATCAATATAGTTGTAATTGGTCTTTCCAAACCCCCATCAAGTAGAGGGCATAAATATGCTTTATGATAGTCATGTACTGACTGGAGTTGTATAACTCTGATCTTTATCTTTGTAGATAAGGATTAGAGTGTTGTGACATGTTGTGCTAAGTCAAGTGTGTTTGTGCTTACAAACCTACTATGCTTGATTTTTGTTTTGATCAAAAAAACTAATTTTACTTCAAAGTTAAAATCATGCTAGAGAATTTAGGAGTGAACATTAGGTTCTCCACCCTTGACCATCTGTAAAGGAACGGTTCAATGGAAAGGTGGAACTGCCTGTTAAAAAGTATGTTAACACATTAACTGCTATGAGGTACCACTTGTGTTAGTTGTTAAAAATTTTCCCTGATGCTTCAGAGTACAGTAATACCTCGACTTACGCTACCCCGACTTACGCAAATCCGGAGTTACGCGATTTTCAAATCTCGTTGATTCGTCTTTTGTTCGAGCGCCACGCAACCCTCGATTACTCACTCCCCCCACACTATTGTTCGGCTTATATGTTCGGACGTGTAGCGTGGAATCGACACATAGCTACAATTTATTTTGCGTTATTTATTTCTGTGTTTGTTGTATCTATGGAGACTCGAGATACTCTACTATGTCATCCAAACGAAGTAGAACTAATTCTTCTGCATCA